TTGTTTGTTATCTTGGTTGATTGGGGTCAAAAAAACATTTATGAGAGGTTAGCTTATTTTAAGGCCTTTCGAAGTTTTGATGAAATTTTGTTGTAGGTTATCGATGACCCTGAATCCGAATCAAAGGCCCATTTTTTTGGCCGGGATTTCATTGGTCAGGAACGGGCCAATCAGAAATGAGCTTTTTTATTATAAGACTTTTGGCCGATTTGATCGAACTTTGCTATAGGTTATCGATGGCCCTGAATCCGAATCCGAAGCTCATTTTTTTGGCCGAGATTTCATTGGTCAGGAACGGGCCAATCAGAAATGAGCTTTTTTATTTTGAGACTTTTGGCCGTTTTGATCGAACTTTGGTATAGGTTATTGATGACCCTGAATCCGAATCCGAAGCCCATTTTTTTGGCCGGGATTTCATTGGTCAGGAACGGGCCAATCAGAAATGAGCTTTTTTATTTTAAGACTTTTGGCCATTTTGATCAAACTTTGCTATAGGTTATCGAGGACCCTGAATCCGAATCCGAAGCCCATTTTTTTGGCCGAGATTTCATTGGTCAAGAACCGGCCAATCAGAAATGAGCTTTTTTATTTTAAGACTTTTGGTCATTTTGATCAAACTTTGCTATAGGTTATCGAGAGCCCTGAATCCGAATCCGAAGTCCATTTTTTTGGCCGAGATTTCATTGGACAAGAACCGGCCAATCAGAAATGAGCTTTTTTATTTTAAGACTTTTGGTCATTTTGATGAAACTTTGGTATTCCCTCGACTGAAGGAAGGGTCATATGAAAAAAAAGAGTTTGCTTGCTTGCTTGCTTGTCGTCAGGCCAAAAGAACATCAGGGTTAAAAGAACCTCTGGGTCAAAAAAACATACGCTTAAAGAAGTTTGCGCTTTGAGGCCTTCGACCAATCACGTTATTCAGCCCATAGTTTCAGCCAATGAGATGTTTTCGATATCGGGCTTTCGACCAATCAGATAAAGTTCTTTCCTCTAAACGTTGACAAAAGTAAATCGGGGTCGAAGAATCCGAATCTGAAGTCAGTTTTTGAAAATTTTGAATTCAAATTTTTGGGTGAAGGAAAGGATTTTTTGAGAAAATAACGATATTTTATAAAGGTTGACGATAGGAAATCGGGGTCGGAGAATTCGAATCTGAAGTCAGTTTCTAGAAATTTTGAATCGGGTTTTTAGGGTCAAGAAAAGGGTTTTTTGAGAAAATAACGATATTTTATAAAGGTTGACGAAAGCAACTCCAGGTCGGAGAACCCGAATCTCAAGTCAGCTGTTCAAAAACTCAAGTAGGTTTTTGTATGAGACAAATCATCCTTTTTTATCTGAATTATTGTCTAAGGAAAAAGTCAATTTTTTTAAAGCAAAAGGCATTTGAAAAATGGACACCCGAAATATGGACAATCCTTCTGCGTATTTGGAGTTTGTAATTGCTGTTTAGTTTCGGTAGCCTCTTCATAGTATCGTTGTAGACATGAATCAGAGTGTGATCTAATGGGTTGAGTGTTTCAGTAAGTCGTAGTGTGATGAAACAGTGTTTACAAACCATTGGCACTCAGTCTAATGTGTGCGACATTGTGGGATTCATGATTATTCATAGTGGTTTGTGAGTTAAGTGGCCTTTTTTGAGTGCACTCTGCTTAAGTCGAGAGAAGTAGCATTAAAAGAATCTTGTAAATGAAGTTACGGCCTGTAGGATAAATGCTGAATAACCAATGATTGTTTTAATGTATTCCAAGAATGCAACAAGGGACTATGAGCAAGGCCTGAGAGAAGTGTTGGCGAACTAGTGGTCGCTAAAATTGCGAACGTATTCTAATGTTGTTTAGCAAAAGATCTACGTGAAACCTGCATTTATCAAGAATAATCAACTAAGATTCTCAAAACCAGAAGCCCTAATAAAATTTTACCGTATTGGCTAAACCATTGGGTTAAAGAAATTAGGAATAAATAACAGGAAACTGTTGGTCCGGAGCTGCTCATGTGGAGCGATGGTGTTATAAATCTAATATTCTAAGTAAGAGCAATCTGTCATTTAACAGGGTTTAAGTGAAAAGAACTATCTTATGGGAGAAGAAGATCAGAGGTTGCAGCAGCTAGTCGCGAGTGGCGCCCCAGAGGGGCGCCGATGAGCGACTAGCTGGTGCACTCGACAGTTGCTTTTTGAAGAGCGTTAAATTAAAAAGATTTAACAAGAGAATGTGAAGGGGTTAGATCTGATGAGTTTCAAAAGGGACTCAAAGTGATAAAAAAGGAGAAATATTTTTCTATGCATTCTAAGACCAGTTTTTCTCGAAGAATAGAATATAGTGACAATGTATGGATGGAAAACATCATTAAAACAGTTAAACTCATTCCATCGAAAACGAACTTGAAAGGAAAAGAATTAGTTTTTCGGTTCGTATATTTTTTTGTGGATTTAGAATGTGCATTTGCTGAAGTAGATGATCAGCTAAAACAGTATATGTCTTTTTCGGTTTTGCATAAATGTATGAAAAAGAAGAGAATAATTGGAAATTGTATGTTTGCTTTCGTCTTATGAAAATATTTATCAATTAAGAGAGTCATTTGTAGTTACTATGGAATGGTTTTTGACTATTTATTAGTTAAATGTACGCGATAAGAGTGAATAAGCTATTGAATTTGGTCGTGTTTGATACCTATAAGAAAGGTTCTTTCGTGTTTTTAAATCTATCATCTGCGGAAATATATACATGGATAGGCGTGGGTCTAACATTGAGACCTGGCATTAATTTGTCATATGCTATAATTACTATTATGAAAAGTGATACTTTTATCCTGGTATGTTTTCGGGAATTCTGATATGTGCAATGTCTAGCTACTGTTATTCAAAGAAAATAGTTTTGAAAAGGCATATGTGAATGATATCGTAGCTGTTGTATTACATGGACAATAAGAGACTGTCGTCCAAGTGCACTTATGTAAAAGGAGGACTTAGCCGTGGCTGGTACCCCAAAGGGGCGCTAATGAACTGTTAATCGTTAACATTGCAAACATACTACAGACTGATCTCACTAAATATCTTTGTATCGGTTAGGCATTTTGAAGAATAGTGCACTAAGATTTCCTTAATGAGAACCTCAAAGAATATTCTGGTTTCTCAGTTCTACAATCAAATTGCGGAAATGAGAAATAATTCATGAGAAAACTTTTGCTTGAAAATTCCTATCGATAATTCTAACGCTTTAGACTAACGAAGTTTTGAAATAGTAAATTCTGGACCAGGTGAATTTAAAATACAGAGGGATAGTGTTGTGAAAAGATGGGAGTAGACCTGGGAGCAATTAGTCACTCATCGGCGCCCCTCAGGGGCGCCGCTCGCGGCTAGCTGCTGCACTGGGTTATCTCCAGAAGTGCCGCTTCGAAGTGTTGGGATTCATTGAATAAAAGTCAATAGTCGAAGTCAAATGGGTCTGAATAAGGAATATCAGATACAAAAAGTTGAAAAAACTATGTCAAGTCAAGGATGAGAACCGGTTTTTATGTTTCGACAAAATAACTGAATAGTTCGTCAGAATAAAAGTATTACTGAAAGAATTTATATTCGCTGCATCGGTAGTGAACATGAATGAAATAAAAGAATGTTTCTTTTGGAATATGGTTTTTGTTTGTATTAATTCAAGTATCTGAATGTACATTGATATATTCAAATTACCTGTCTAGTCTTATCACTACTTTGAATAAGAGCTTGTTGTATATATCAGATTTCGATTAGAGATCAGATATAATATGTTTTATTTTCGGCTAGGGGTTCCACAGAACTTCTATTTTCCTAGAGAACTCTATAGTCAACAGTATTATCGAGGAATGTTCTAAAATGTGTACAAATTTCTAGTAGAATTTTCAAAAAGTACTCTGCGTTTTCGTACAATTTTTGTGAACTTCTATTGCTATATCGTCTGTGAAAAATTCAATATGATATCTTGTTCAGTCGAGGGCTAAGCGAGTCGAAGCGACGAGCGTTACTTGTGTTTAGAACACGATCATAGTAATTAGAATATTCTGATGCTTTATGACAAGTTTTAAATATCGTGAAAACAGAAATATTCAAAAGTGAACATGTGATTTAGGAAGAAGATTAAACGCTTTGCAGTCTTTTAGGTTAAGATCAAAGTGTAGTATCTGTTCTGGGTGTGGGTGTGAGCGTGTGTGTTCTCTAAGTTCAAACCCATATCCACACATACCCACACGCATACGCACACCTACACTTCACCACGTGCCTTCACAGCGCTTTAACTATTTGTGTCGATTGTATTATTCGTTTGCAATCTCTTTTTCTTTCTTCTGTTCTCATCACGGTATCAAAGGGCACACTGTATCATGTGCGCTTATAAGATAGACTGTGGAGAAAAAGCTTCTTTTTTTGTGTTTGAGTCCGTGTAGCAAACACGACGCACTCTTATCAATAACTCGTTAATACCTGGTGAAAACAACTTTCAGCACATCAACATCCGTTTGCAGATATCATGTCACATAAACAACTGCTTCATATGCTGCTAGACCATGGTGTCAATCTTGCTTATCGACTTTCGCATCCTATCGACGAATCATCACCAACTATTGTTATGTTCCACACGTTTCTGATGGATTCACGGTCCTTCGATCGTCAATTTAAGGACGTTCGATATTCACCCTATACTCTAATATCGATTGATGCACATGGTCACGGAGAAACAACAGGTCGCGACGAAAAGTTTACCTTCTGGGACACTGCCTCAGATTCACTACAACTTCTCACTAAACTTGGTCTTGATCAATTCTATGTACTCGGAACTACGCAAGGAGGTTAGTATAGCATTACGAATTGCTTTACTCGAACCTCAACGAGTCAAAGGATTAATTTTGCTCGAAAGGCCCGCGATAAATGGTGTGAGACAAAGATTCCTTCGGACGAAGCAATACTTGCTAGAGCAGCATCTTTCGGTGGTCCTACACGTGTAAACGAAAAAGTCTACGAAAAAATTAAGCAAATGTGGATTAAACGACATGCTGGCCCCAAAGGTTATGATCCAGCACTCAATTGTCTTCTTAACCGCGATACAATCGATGACAAACTTGATGAAATCAACGTTCCAGCATTGGTTCTGCACGGAGCGGATGATCGTATGTGCCCAGCACAAGATGCAAAAGAATGGAGTTCAAAACTACCTAAACTATGGAAATTTGAGATTGTAGAAAGAGGTGTTCACCAGCTTTCACTAACAGAACCTGGTGATGAAGTTGTTGCTCAGTTAATTCCACAATTCATAAAAGAAACATTGTAGAAGTATGTGTAGCCAATGAAAAACATTATCCATTTCAAATGTTCATTCGTAATCTTCAGTCTCTAGATACTTTTTCACACATGTGATTATTAATTTTCAATAAAAAAATATATCCATAAATACTTTCTGTAAATGTTGTCACCAACATTGTTCACTGTAAAGTTTATTTCAATGATAAAGTCATCATGAAATTCGAAAAACATCATGTCTGTATCAAAGGAAATTCATATTCTTCATATTCTTTGAATTTTTCATTTATCACTAAATAAATTATGCTGCGACCAATGAAGAGACTGGATCGCTTTTTATTGTCAAAATAATCCATGCTAATTCATTATATCATTGATTAATCAATACAGGATGGGTGTGGGTGTGGACATAAGTGAAGAGAAGACTCACACCCACACCCAAAAATGTCAAACTTTCTGCGAATCTTTTTACAATCTTACGGCAAACCATGGCAGAAAAGAAATTTCAGCAATTACATGGTAATTATGATAAACTATATTCTACCTCGTGAAGGAGTTGAGAATATCAATGTACATGATGAAAACATATACGTAGTCAATTGCATCGTATTAAAAAGAAAATTACAACTATGCAATGAATTGCTTGCCTATTTCGAATTTTTCATAGATTCTAAAAAGTCTATTCAACTTGACTGAACACAAGTTGTGACAATAAAGCTAATGGGTCATATATTCTTTGTACATATGTAAATCATTTTCATAGATCGAAATACTGTAATAATTTTTGATAATGTTCAGCAAATATGAGTTTATTTTATCACGAATAATACTAGATATCGAATTATTTCTCAATGATTAGCATCAGACTTCATTTATATGGAACATTTATTGCTAAATTTCAACTTCGACGATACATGACATTGTATTTTGGTTTTGTATGGTAGCGAACAATTATTCTTGTTAATCTCTTCAAAAATTTAGAATATCATTTTAATCAAATTGGCAGAGAATAAAATATTTGATCAGTAAAATAGATGAAATAGTAGTCTATCATGTGTTCGGCTAAAAATTTACGATATCAACACGAAATCGAATGAAATTCGAGCAATTCAAAGCATACTACAACTGTTTATGGTCAGAAGAAACTATGAAATTCTTCAGGTGTCATGCTTAAGATAAGTGAGTTAAAAATCTGATAAAAAAACGCAACATTATCGACACCATTTTCAATAATATGAATCGATATTTTCGAACACTACAAGTTACGAAATTTTAAGATTTTTGACTCAATACAAAATGATACTTGTAATACAATCGGTTCTAACCATGAGTAGCAATGAAAAACTAGGCAAATGATCAAGTCTAAGTTTTTGGTGAATATATTATTTTTGTACTACAATTTCTAGTCGTATTTGTGCAGTGGTCAACGAAAAAAACGCTTGGTTTTACTGATTTACGTTCTCGTATGGAATTCTAAAGATATCTTAACAAATTATATTGAAGTTGCTATTTTTCAAAGAAAATCTTCGTGATAATTTACTCTTAATATTTATCATTAAAATGTCTAACTGTTATTTAAATTCCAATTCATGATTAAATATTATAATAATTTTTTCCTACCTTGCACATTGGCAAAAGAATAACGCTGATACTTTTATTTTTCACTATTCTTTCTCAGTATCGAATATCTCATATAAAATCATTAGAAGTTGCATGACGAAAAATGTTTTGCATATAAAAAGAAAACAGTAAATAATTTACACAAGTGAAAAGAAAAAAAGGAGAAATAAAATCAAGGTCATGAGTAATAGAAAAACACACAGGAAAAAAGGACGAATTTATCATCAAAGAACATCCCTTTGATGGAATGTATAAGAATAGAATACAAATGTACAAAGGAAGAAGAACAATTATGAGACATCGATTAAAAAAAATTTTATTCAACAATAAGTTCAAAATGAACACTACCACGTATAAATTCTAAACTATCATTATGATCAATATTTCTTGCATAAGCTCGACATTCAACATTAATTAAAACATTTGTTTCAATTTTTTTAAAATGAACAAAAACTAATGGACTTCGATAACCATCTTGATTAACAAATGGAAAAAAATTTCAATGAAATCCACCTATTTTAGTTGTATTCATTTGTGAAAAATATTCTATTTCATATATGAAATCTCTATCAACATCATTTTCACCATTACATTCAACTAATATATAATCAGAAAATTCACTTTCCCATATAGCTATAAAAATTGAAAAAAAAGAATATTTTATTGAAAATGATATTCTAATATTAATTTAACCTTTAAATTGTTCAGGTACTTCAGCAGCATTTTGATATGTAATTGGTTCTCAATCATAAATTTTATTAAGTTTTAAAAGAGCTCATATGGACGACCAAAACTATATTAAAAAATTTCTTTGCGTAACACATGGTGTTTGACGATTTCCAAACAAATTTATATCAAAACGACATGATTTACCTTCATAAAATTGTGGACGAAGTTTATCTATTGAAATACCATTACAATCAATTGCTCGTTGATATCGAATATCAGCTTCTGTATAATAAGCTAAAAATTCATCTAATTGTTCTTTATATTCACCCCAACCATGACGATAATCAAATGTATCACGATGAGATGAACGATATTTTATTAATACTTTTTGTACACTTATTTGAGGACGAAAACCAAGACCTTAATATATCAAAATATTTTTTTGTTTTGTTTTACAAGAAAAATGTCTTTATTGTTATATATTACCAGGATTTGGTCGAGATGTATCTAAAGCAATAGCACTTGAATTTCCTCTATAGGGTGGTATACGTTTATCAATAATAGCCATAAAAATTCCAACAAATGATGCACATATAACAGCCATAAACATAAACCATAAAAAATAGTAAAGAGTTATTTTAGCCCATGATAAACCATCTCTTTCACAAACTTCCCGATATTTTGGATTATAACACGAAACACGATAATTATGACATCGTTCATCCCATGTTAATTCATCATCTTTAACAATGATTTCTTCTTTAGTTAGTGCCAATTTATCTGACATTGAAAATGGATAAGATTTTACAGATGCTGACATATATGCTGGATCAGTTGCCATGTTTCAGATTCAACAAATAGTTTTATTGAAGATAAATAAACAATAAAAAGAAAAACGAGTGAATCAATTGTTTATTCTAATCAGCACGCCATTATCATAGTCACAAGAACTCAAAAATTTGATGAAAACGTATTTGCTTGCCGTTATTGGCATCTAATGCACAAATATACAGACCAAGGATCGAAATTAGGACCATTTTCGCTCACTGCCTCGCCCCCGTCTTGTCTCCACAAATTATGTTTATCAGTTTGGTGCGGAGTTTACGTTCGAATATGTGTGTATCGGTGAAAGGAAGACATCTACACCCAAATATTTTCTGCGGCCGGCTGTCCATTCGCCCTATGTGTTACTTCGTTGCTAAAATAGTCTGGTAGCACAAAGTCTAGAGGCTAGTGAAGATATTTTTTTCTAAGTTCGATTCTGACTCCAAATTGTTTTAAAATGACACCGACATTTTTTTCTGTCGATTGACGATAGCTTACTTGTGGGACGATATTATACAATGCGAAAGAATATATATGTGAGCGCTAGACAGAAACGAAAAACTGATTGTATCTCAAGTCTTTTTGTTGATTACAGATACTCGTAATGAGTGTTAAGTTCTCGTTACGGTGAGAAATTCTGCATATAACTAAAACAAGAAGGTGATTTTGTCAAGCTAGTACCGAAAAATATACCAAATACAGATGAAGTTCGGAATAGTTTCTTTCAAGTTTTTGTCAACAACGACTTTTTAAGAAAAACTTCGTTTTATTGAAAAAAAAATTTGTCGAACGAAGAAGAAGCCAACAGAAAGATCAAGTTGTAATCCAGTCGTAATTATGTCAGAACATTGAAATGAAAGAGTGGTGTACCGAATACGATGAGTAGACGGTTTCGCTATTATTGCAACATGTACTTTATTGCTGATCAATCTTCAGAAACTGAAGTACTAGCGTTGTCGCTATTCTCGATATACGATAGTCACTACACTACTTTACCACTCCAGTTCTATCCATTTCATACAGAACACGAGCTGATATATGAGAGAGAGAAAAACAACGAGAAGAGAGGAGAGAATGAATAGACGACAGAGTGAATGGGCAGTTACTATCGGTCATGAGGTCAGAACGTCTGACCGCATAGTGACCGAATACTCACCCATCAATAAACCAATAGAAGATGCACATACATTGTGACCTTATTATCGGCACAAGTGAAAGTATTGAGTGGTGCTGATCTTTCCTTTACGAAGAGTCACTTTTGAAAGCTGATTTAGTGTAGATGTCTTTTGTTCTATTTGTGTATTTGATGTTATTTTGCTATTGGATTGACCATTTTCGTTAACTAAGAGTTACAATTGTCAAAAGAAAAAGTATTATATATGAAAAAAGAATAAAATGGTTTTTTCGGAGCTCTTTTAATTACATCAACTCTGTCTCCGATTGAGTCGTAGTCATGTTTTGAAGTTCGATGCTAATGTCTAGCAGAGACGTCTGTGATATTGATTTATATTAATTGACGAGTTCATGTCTTTAATATCAACTTTTTAACAATGGAACCCAAAGATGGCGAAATACGTCAGGGGTGTAACTTATTCCAGCCCTGTTTCGGTCTCTGATATAGACAAGAAGAAGCGCAAATAACAGCATTGCTAGTGTTTATCACCTGGTGCAAGGTTTACAAGAAATTCATTTCGATGCAGTTCAATGATTGATTTTCAGTCCTAAGTCAATCTTTCGTTTTCCAAGAGACAATCTATATTTTCATGTTTTTGATCTGTTGCACAGTATACATTGTTTGTATCACGTTATTCTTTTGTTTTTAGATTAAATTTTATTGTATGCAATAACCGATTGTTGTTTTATATGAGATTCCTACGTAAGTCAAAATTTGAGCTCATGATATTCATATTTTAAGCTATTTTTAACAGGTTTTATTGGGTGTGGGGTGTGCGTGTGCGTCTGGGTGTAGATGATTAGTTCCTACCCATACCCTCTTGATACAGGTTAAAGAATTGTATTTCTTGAACTTGTAACTAATCGCATGGAGCAATCTTCTTTGTGTGGGTGTGGATGAGAAAAAAATATACACCCACACCTTTATAATTTAAAGTCCGCAACAAAATGCAACTATATCAAAATTGTATCAATATACGTAGAAAATATATCTCTTAGTCTTTTTATAGTTCCCTACAATTATATATTCAGACGTTAGAGGCAACATTTTAATGACTGTTCTTATTAATTATATAACAAAATCAAGTAATAAAAATAGCTTGAATTGAATCTATGTGTAAAATACAGAAGGCTCAGCATATTAATGAAATAATTGCTGCTCATAATGAATATCTAGATCGAACCATGTTGAAGTAAATTTCTTCTTCTTTTAGAAAAAATGAAAATTATATTATTTTTTGCCAGTTGTCTGCTTGGTTCGAAAGCAGCTCTAATTTTCAATAAAGTGAACCTTGCTGTAACATTATAAGTTTTATCAAAGCTGGTTACAAAAGGATATAAAACATCATTATCTGATTTACTTATACGACTTAATCATAGAGTATTTTTCTTATTGTGTCAGCTTTTTGTAAGTCGTAAATCTTCATTCAAACTAAATATAAAAAAAAAAAGAAAGCATAAATTCTAATCTATTGTACATAATCAGCATAAAGCAGTCCAATTGTAAGCATCATAAAGAAAATGATCATAGTTGGTTTTGTGATCGATGTTGTTGATCGAAAGAATTTATCAAAGTCAAATTTAGTAATTAATGTATTTTTGATCCGTCCAATATTTTCTATTGAATTACAAGGACCATATTTTCGGCATGCTAATGTTATTCTATCCAATTGAGTTTGATTATTAAGAAAATATGTTGTATAATAATCAAAAAAGTTTGTTACAGCTTTTCCAGGTGGACACATTGCACATATATCTGTTTGTTCAGAATATTGAATAATACTTATACATTGTTGACAACTAAGTATATTAGTGTTAGGACAATATGTCATATTTGAAACTTGTAAACATAAACCACCATAAAATTCTGTTGTTGGAACAATTAATGAATCAAATTTTTGTATTTGTTCATCAGTAGGCAACACTGTTGAGATAATAGCAAGTTTTAAATTGTCAACAGTGTTACATGGAGTTGTATTTGAAGGTTTACAATTGTAAGCAATAAATCTGTTAGTTACATATTCACCAGACCATGTAGTTACTTTACGTTCTGTTTTTGCTACAACACTATCGAATGGTAAATCTGGATCTGTATCATAATATACTTCACTCGTACCATCATTGAGCCATCCAACACGTACAGAACAACCATTTTCAGCTGTTACTAGTTCACAATCATCTCTAGTTGGAGATGGAATATTATCAAATGTAATTGAGTAGTTAAAAACCATTCCTTTACATTCATGACATTTATATGCTAGAAGATATCTTGCATGACTGATTAAGAATAATCCAAAATAATAATAGAAATAGCAATAATTGAATAATATCATTATTAACAATGCATATATCTGAAACGATATGTGTTTGAAACAGATAAAAGGATATGTCTATCATCTACTTGTCATCTTTAAACAACAAAAAAAAACACAGAAGTTATATCTTGTTGACTCATAGGAGCTAAAGAAACAATTCAAACTTATCTCAGTCTATAACGTGCATAGTGATGAATGGGACTAATCAAAGAAAATTGTTGGTATTGGCTTCACGCTGAGTAATACATTTAATCGCGAAAAAAGGTGATAACATTTTCGATCAGTGTAAATGAGTTACAGCATATACTGAAGTGATCGTTAATCAATAATTTTTGCATAAACTTGTAGAATTGATGAGCCATGAGAATATGACATTTCACGCAAGGCTTACAGGACGATAAAAGTTACATCCTTGAAATGATAATGAATTTTTTTCATGTAATCTACGACCAAGTTCTTAGAAATGTCTCATGTAAATTCTTAACAAACTAAAAAATATCTTATATATGGGATACTCTATAATACGAACAAGCAAAACAACAAATGGACTGTACTCTTTCCTAGGCATAAAACAGACAAAATAACGCTTGGTATCTCATGTCATACTTGGGAATAGGAAATACATATAACAAGATAGAAGAAAAATATGCAATAGACACGACCTAAAAATAGAAGGGTAAATGTATCATGGCCATTGAATACTTTTCTTCGAATATATTAGATTCTTTTGAGACAGATTCTACTATTTCTGACATTCGGATTGTTTCAATTTAAAAAATGATTTATTTTTAATTATTTGATCTAGATTTAATGTGTCATTTTCTCACACAAGTTGTCTCTTATTTTCACTGGTTATTCATATTTTTTTTATATAGAAAACGATAGAAACAGGATAGTGTCACCGTTATTATCAACCAGAACCGTTCATTTTCTGAGTTTTATGTACACTTGCGGTTTTAATGGAAAAATCAGATTATATTTATCTTAGTGTACAAATTGATTAAGATTTTAGATATAAACATTGTATTTTCTTTTCTCATACAAATAAGAATATCGATCCCATTAGCATATCTATTGAATACCACTCACTTGAATATATTTGTAAACTAGGTTTCAAGTGCTTGATAAGTTCCTTGCTTAGTGAATATCAATAAAACATGTCACAATGGTATTATCAAGAAATTTTATTTTCATAAGAAAATTGTCAGAAGGACATGATTATAATAAATACAAAAGGAAATTATATAATTTAATATTAAGACTGACTTTGCAATTCATTGCTGACGATTCCCATACTTATGACTGTCGATCATCATTCCAAAATATGGTCAGCTATATATATATGTCATCCATGAAAACTATTGTTTCGATATTGGCTTTCATATTTCGCACTTTATGACCATGTTGAAATGCTGATCTCAGCTTTTTTCACCAACTGCAAAATCTTGAATATATTATCTGATCATGTATATTTACCATTTTCGTGTCTCATTGTTTCGGAGATCGACTCCCATACATATCCTGCGATGTGTAACCTGAAGTACCTAAACTATACTTTTTATTATTTATTCTTTCTCCAATATGACTGTTCCCATTCCTACAGATACGAATACTTTTCCATGCATGTTTTCATTCTTCCATGGTCTGTTATAAATAGAACGGTTATTTCATACACAAATATCTTTACAATGTCATTTTCCTACCACAAATCTATGACTTTTCGTCGATATCCAGATACCTTTACGCATTCATTAATAAAATAGTTTGGTTATGTTTCTGCATGGTCTTGCGCGATATTAACGTTAGGAATGCACGACCATGACACATCATCGTAGATATATTCTTCCTTTTAGAAAACAATTAGAAAATTGAAATGTTTTCAGACTATATGTCTTTGTCTATCTTAAATAATCTTATTTAATCTTCGGCTGCATCCAACAGTTGTCATTGTGTATCAATAAACATATTTGATTCATCAGATGCTAGGTCTTCTGAAGGACTTGAACATAATAAGCCATATTATGTACTATCTAGGAAGTGAATTCAATAGCTGGCAAATGATATATAATGGACTGGTTTCTCATCGTAGAGATGAGAAGTTATAATTAATTCTAAAACGTCGCCATGTCGATCAGTAATAAATAAAAACGGTTTATAACTACTAGAGGGAAATATTATTAAAAATTACAACTATTACTCTATCAAATCAGTTGTGAGTATGATGATTTCCTCTTGCCTAACCTTTTAAATACGATCAATAGTAAGGATTACGAAAAAAAAAACTATTCAGTAAATATTTTCATGTTGAATTCATTGAAAAATATTTGTTAATTTTGGTTGCTATATATTAAACTGTTTTATAATTTTGCGTATTCCAAACAGTCGAATACTGAATAAAAGTAAAAGTTATTATCTTTCCTAAATAAGTTTTTGAAATGTATACTTAGTTGATCAATATTTCAATGTTAAAATGATGCGTTTTGTTCGAAAATATCCATATTAATCCATTCCTATCTGAATAAAAGTTCAAGAAAACTATTATATAGAAATCTGAAATCAATGATGTTGTGTACAAAAGTATGGTATTCAAAGTTGAAATAAAATTTCGAGAACTCGTGTGTCATAGCTATATTGTTACGATAGAGTTTTGATTTAGTGCTTATTTAAACTAGTTAAAAGAATTGATTTCGTATTCTTACCTCAAAAAATGCCCAAAACCCCACTAAACTTCGATGAGAAAAAATGCAAGACTTACTATTTCATTGATGACTGTAATTTGATAAATTTATGTCTCATAAGATTTATTACACAGTGGACTTTTTCTTCTTGTTTTTGTAATTTATATCCAATAAACATCATTTATTTTACTTCTAGAATGATGCACATAATCATTTAATGTAGGTTATATTTGATAATACACTTTTGATTAAGAATTATAAAGACTTCTTAGGCAACATTTCAATATATCATTCAGATAAGAGAGAAATAGTCCTTTTTATTAGATTCTCATTAATCGAGAAGAAATAAAATTTATAACAATCATACATGATATCGTAAATGCTGCAAATTGCTACCCTATTTCTGTATTTTGTTCTGTAATATATGAGAAAAAAGAATCCGTTACGAGTACGGTAGACGACAAGACAAGTTATTCTTTTCATTGTGATCATCGTTGTATGTCACTGTATAGCGATTTCGTTGTGACCTAACCAATGTATTTTGTTTTGATTAACATTAATCATGCAATGGTTATCGAATTTTCAGATATTTCTGATATAAAATGAATTTTTATGAGTACACCCATTGATTTACTAAGAAAAATAGGGTGTGCGTATTCTTCTAAGTATCCACAATCACATCCTCAAGCATAATATTGTATTTTTGATAGTAAGATTGATATAAGAGAGCTTGGTAATTGAATTTTCATAAACAATTATGATTAATTTAAACTATATTCTTGAAGGCTTCAATGAATTTCATGAAATAAAAGTTCGCTACTTTCGTTGATGTCATATTGAAGCAAAGTCAATTAAATATGTCTATTTTAAGGTCTATTATAACAGCATACAATAATTTTTCGTTTAATGAAAAATCAAAATTTAGATTATGAGCACATTAAAGTTTTTATTTTATTCTTAAAAATCAATTCTCGTCATGAAGTTCAAATCAAGGAACGTCATCATCTTGAACGCCTGTATTGTTTTCTTTGTGAAAGGCAGATATAATATCAAGATTGTTAAACATATGAGGATTCTTTATATGAAATAAGAACAAGAAATTACATTATAGTTTTTTCTTTCCATTTATTTAAAGTATCAGACAGTTAATAATGCAATCATGAAATATGTTTTTACATGCCTATAGGAGAGATTATTTTGTGTATATTTCGGTAAATTTTCTTTTCAGAGTTAATTGTAGTTAAGTATTGTTTCTTTAGATTATAATACTATAGATGTATGACTTATATTTTCAACATTTGATCAAAGTCAATAGGGTGTGGGTGTGGGTGTGAGAATGTACAGCTTCTTTAACCCACACTCACACACAAATTATTAGAAACCAAAACTTTATTTTACTCTCATTGATGGAAGTTTTTGGTGATTTCTAGCATAGAAATCATTGTGCAGCCTTTTGTCTTATAATTAGAAAAGTTTGACAATATGCTGTCATTTATTTATGTATTTTTTTATTGTTTGATGGACTTTATTTTATATGATTTCAATCACACATATATTCATTAGCTAGTTTATGAAAAGTAAAAAATGTTTTCCAAGTCTTCGCTAATATTCTGCTTCATAAGTATATAATTAATCAATACACTTAATATTCAAAAAAAAACATACGACTTTTGTAGAAAAGTTTTTCATTAGAGTACACAAATTTTTTTTAACAATTAACTTAGAACCATCAAAAATACACAAAAAACAACCGAGAATATAAATTGCTTATTGATTAATATTCTAGTAGTTCTTAGTCGATCATTGTTAACCTTTCTCTCTTTGATAATAAAATAAACAAGAAAAATGATGGATTCTATTATATTTTATCGATCGACTATCATCATCATCAACAACAACAACAAACACATGCTACTTTTTCAATCATTAGTCTTTACTAGATTAAATAATCTTTATTATATAAATCAAGGTTTAAGCTCTTGTTGAACTAGACTAATCCAATAGCCAACACCAGAAGGAATACATTCATCATTAAAAATAAATGTGGGAGCATGTGTTGAACCACCACCTATTCCATTACCTATACCCATGTAAGCACCAGGTTTTTCTTCGAGAAAATAAGCAAAATCTTCTCCAGCTGTAAGCGGCTTTATATATCCATCAACATTTTCTTTACCTACTAATGATTCAGCTGCTTTAATTGCTCGTGCAGTTTGTTCATCATGATTAACAAGTGGAGTACCAAATCGATTATATTCTACTTGAGCTGTACAGTCGAAACTTTGAGCTAAACCATTAGCTAGTTCTTTCATTCGTCGTTCAATTATATCACGAACTTCTTTTGTAAAAGTTCTAGAAGTACCACCGATACGAATTTCCGATGGCATAACATTAAGTGAACTAAATGAACCACCTTGAACAGCACCAATACTAATGACAGCTGAATCAGTTGATGCTATATTACGACTAATGATAGTTTGTAATGCTAAAATAAATTGAGCTTGTAAAACAGTAACATCTGTCGCTAGATGTGGAGTCGCTCCACCATGGCCTCCTGTGCCTTGAAATGTTACTAGCCAACGATCGGATGCAGCCATCATAGGACCAGGTCGTATAAAAAATTTTCCAACGGGTAAATGTGCTAAAGTATGCAGTCCATAAATAGCATCACATGGAAATCGTTCAAATAATCTATCATTCATCATAGCTAGAGCACCTTGAAGATTTTCTTCAGCAGGTTGAAAAATAAAATAAATTGTACCAAAAAATGAATTACGATGTTGAGCTAGATATTTTGCTGCACCAAGTAACATTGTAGTATGTCCATCATG